CCGTTTTATAAAGGTTACAAGCTCACACACGATGTTAACTAAAAGGATAGTACTTAGAATGCACCCCTGTCTGACCGCAAAATTCTGTGCAAATTAATTCGCAAAACCTCTGCTAAATTTGAAAATCAACGTTTATACCATTTTATAACGGTTACAAGCTCACACACGATGATCACTAAAAGGATAATACTTAGAATGGACCCCTGTCTGACCGCAAAATTCTGTGCAAATTAATTCGCAAAACCTCTGCTAAATTTAAGCCCGAAAATCAACGTTTATACCATTTTATAACGGTTACAAGCTCACATACGATGATCACTAAAAGGATAATACTTAGAATGGACCCCTGTCTGACCGCAAAATTCTGTGCAAATTAATTCGCAAAACCTCTGCTAAATTTAAGCCCGAAAATAAACGTTTATACCATTTTATAACGGTTACAAGCTCACACACGATGATCACTAAAAGGATAATACTTAGAATGCACCCCTGTCTAATCGCACAATTCTGTGCAAATTAATGCACTTAACCTTTGCTAAATTTAAGCCTAAAAATCAACGTTTATAACACTTACAACGGTTACAAGCTATAAATGTATAAAATGTATAAGTAAAGGGTAGTACTTGGAATGCATCCCTGTCTGAACCGGCCAATTTTTCACAAAATAATTTACGAAAGTTCTGCTAAATTTCAGACTGAAAATTTAAAGCTTTAGCAATTACAAACTCAGAGAGGATGTTAACTCGGTCACTGCATTCATTGAAACTTCATTGGTTTTAAAGAGGTAATTCAAAAGTTAACCACTTTTTTTGGGGGGGGGGGGTCGAAAGTGAACACCCTTTGTTTTCGGACTTATGAAGATTCCTGATGATAAGAACATCCATTGATACAAGAAAAAGTCCCAGCGTGCGTTAATTATACAGTCGTTTTTTAACAGAGAAAAAGGGGAAAAATTGTATCACCAGGCATATTGACCAGTCTTGGCCTTCGTATCAATCTGCTCCGTTGCAAAATAAACCGCATTTTATTCAAACCGGAAAAGCCCTCGGTTAAAGAACAAAAACGGATTAAAGAAATATAAATTAATGTAATTATATTGTAATAGTTTGGTACGATTGAACCGTGAACAAATAAAGTTGGCCTGGTTGGCATTGATCTTGATGCATTCCTGTGGGTGTTGGTCTGCGAGTCGGAGAACACCCACAATCGCTTTTAACACAGCCAGCCAGGTTGCTTACTTACTGCCATCAAAATGTTCGAAAAACTTAGTAAAAACAGAAATCCGTTCATTATACATAAAGAAAGATTCAAACAGACAAAGGACATGTCGGCGGGTTAGAGATTTCTTGAACAAACAAGGGCTACTTATGATGGAAAGTTGGGCTTTAGGTCTTCCTTGTCAACACAAGTGCAACTCTCCAGGCTCATTGACCACATTACATAAAACTTTAATCAAAAACAAAGCGTTTGACAAAGTTTGGCACACTGGGCTACTGTTCAAATTGATCCAAATGAGCTTTCCTCATTAAGTTGTTAAGATAATAGACTCATATCTCCCATGCGAAGATTTGTCGGATCAGTCTAAGGCGTGGAATCTAGGATAGGCACTGTGGTTGCTGGAGTCTTGGGGCAAGTTTGTCCTGATTTTCAGTTAACGACCCAGAACACCAGGCGTGCGGCTGACACTGTGCTGTACATGTCATCAGAGTACATGTCAGGAGAGTGAGGCCCATAGTAAACCGACTGCGCAAGGCAGTGAAGAGGACTGTTCGGTACTTCGCGAAGTGGAAAGTAGACCGTTTAAGACCATGACTGAAGCCATTCTCATTAGGCCTGCGCTTATATATGCTTGCGCTGCTTGGAGCTTAACCTGCAATACAAATTATAAAAAGCTGAAAAGAACTCAAAACAAGTCCCTACGATTATGCAATAATAGCCCGTTAGCAACCAAAATAGAAGAGCTTCACGCAATATCCGGATTAAAATACCTCCGAACCTATATTGACCCAAACTGCTGCACATTTTTCGAAAGCTGCTCATGTAGCACCATAGGCATTCTAAAAGGCATTGGTCGGAACCATTCTAAAAATATAACATAAAACGCTGTGATCACCTAAGACGCTTAAAAGCCCTAAAGCCCAATTTTATTTTATTTATTTATTATTAGAATTAATGTATGTATTTAAGTGCTAAGTGCATATATTCTTATACGTCTATATATTTATGGACGTTATATGTATGTACATATTGATATTAACGTATTTATTTATTATTTATTAATTTATTTAATTAGTAATGTAAATTAGAGTGAAAGTTGTAGATTTTTTTAAATTAATAATTTTCCCCTGCAGGTACCCTAGGCATTGTTTTTTATTTTATTTTATTTTTTTAACGAGGGTTAAACATCAGAGGTCATATCAACCCCCGGGGTGTCGGTGTTTTGAAAAGAAGACCATGTGTATGTCGGGTTAGAATGCAGGGCCGCTGGATTCGAACCCGGATCCTTTACCTTACAGTGATGAGCGGCGTGTCAACGCCTTAACCTTGCGGCCACCGACGCCCCTACCATTAACCTTAAAAAAAAGGTTACTTTGACGGATAAAAGCTATACATTCGACGACTTCAGAAGTACATAGGGTACCTATGTATTGTGTCCCCTTGGTTTTGTCAAAAATTATTTAGCCTAGAAAAAAAATTAAACTGTGATTTTTTTAGCATATGCTCTACTTTTTAACATTGCAACAATTACCGTTGTTTTTTTTTGTTTTTTTTTTCAATTTCTTAAAATACACTGACACTTGTAATATAACTTGATTTGTATAAACTAGTCAAAGTTTCACGTTTTTTTACGATTAATAATTCAGCCTTTGTCTAAAAAAGTAAAAAAAATGTAAATTGCTAAGGAAAATGAAAAAAAGACGTACAGATAAAATTTGTTTTAATTTTGTTTTAGATGTTTAATTAACATTTCAATATCCCGTATTTCCTCCTCTTGCCTTATTACATCTCGAAGACACCTCGGCGTACTTTCTACCAGTCTGGAAATGTCTCTTTGCTAGAGGTTAGCCTCTTCTCCACGAAGAGATCCTTCAAGATCATGGAGTGTATCAAATGATGAACGTGCACTTATTCGTCTTTTGAGGTTATCCCATAAATGTTCGATGGGGTTCAGGTCTGGAGCCAGGCTAAGAACCTGATGTTATGCTGTTGAAGGTACGTTTGTACTATGCGAGCGACATGTGGACGGGCATTATCGAGAATTGGAATTGGATTGTGGCTGATTTCATCAACGGTAGGCAACGCATGATGTTCCAAAATGTCATCCACATAGCAAGTGGCCGTCAAAGACCCTCCACGAACAGGCACTGAACGACTCTTCATTGAAATTCCCGCTCACATCATCAGTGAGCTACATTGAAAAGGTTGGCTCTGGGAAAAATTACAATCTTCGACCCTTTCATTTCGCTTTCTCCACACTCTTTCACGCCCGTCTGGAGATCTTAGAGCAAAGTACAGCAGACCAATCTTTTAAAAACCAATGGCTGTGTCTCGAGCAAATGTGAGCCGTGCAACTCTGTGTTCTGGTAAATTCTGTTCCTCTTACGGGGCGAAATGCCATCAGTCCATACTGATTAAATCTTCTCCGAGCAGTGCGTTCAGAAATTTGGACTCCTCGAACGTCCTGGAGGTGATGAATCGCTTGAACAACGGTAAGGTGCCGGATTCCCAAGTTGTCAAAGTCAAAAAACTGTCATTCTGTGGTTCTGTTACCCTAGGGCGTCCTGAACCGGGCCTTCTATGGTTAGAGTCAGTTTCTCAAAAACATCTAACGGCGTCTCGGAGAGTTTGTAGGGAACTCCGATGGCAATAGCCGCATACCTGATGGAACGTCCATCATCAATAAGGGCCCACCACGCGCAACATCCTCAGCACTAAGCGGCTTTTTAAAGTTTAAAAATTAAAATTTAAAAAACAAAGATGAAATCTAACGTTTATTGCTTCAAAATTCAAATGAGACTGAATAAACATTTTAAATTCCGTAAAAAGTAAACATTGAAAAATCCTTTATTCTTGTTTTGGATTACGGATTAAGTGTGTTTACCTCTAATTGATATACCTAATTTAAAACATAGCATAAACAAATATTTATTGGTAAAAACAATGAGACAAATTGAGGGCAGAATTTTCTTTTATCGAGAAAATGAAAAAAATCAATAGGGTGGAATTTTTTGCCAGTCAGTGTACTTTAAAAAATTAAATTTTTTTCAAGTGGCAAGCTACATTTTCATTTTTGGATTCATCCATTCATTTCGATTTTATGAAAAATGGCGAAAATCATTTGAAAATCTGTTTATAAGAACGTTGGATATACAGGGTTTTAACGTAATTATTTTAACGTTTGAAAGTATAATTTATGCTTTAAAAAATTTGAATTTTTGTTGTTGAGTTTGTGTTTTTGAGAAACCCAGGGGTCACTATTAAATTGACAACTTTTATATTATAATAAGATTCCTTTTAACCAAATACAGCTTGATTTCTGTAATTTTAAGAAAGAAATATGCAGCCTTCGTGAATTTCGGGGGTCTGGGTGTCTACGCGTGTGGACGATATTATGAAAAAACATGCAGAAACGAAAATCGGATTTTCGCCCCAAGAAGATCGGTAGCGATTCGTCTTCTCCGTCACGAAGTTCACAACAACCCCAAGGGCCAAGGCCGCCGAAGAAGGGAGTACTTTCACCAAAGGGCGTTGCTCCCTGTTTCGGAGCCCTTTAAAGTCCGCCTACCGGCCCTTTCCACCGTCTCGGGTGAGCATATGAGAACCAGACGAACCACTGGGTCACTTGACCCACACGGAGAAGGAAAGATTCGATGTCAAAAGAAGGGAGAGGAACAAAAAAGAAGGAAAAAAAGAAGAGGAAAAATAAAGAAGACGGAAGAAGCGCAGGCAGTGGTTGTGGTGGGAGTCGGGTTTCTTCCCCACCACAGTCCCACGGCACTCGCTCTGTCGGCTTAACGAAAGCAACAGTTGTTGACTGTGACCGACTGGTACACTTGAACGTGAGATGTACCATTAGTGCGACCAAGTACCGGACTTGAGATATAAAAATGTCAGATTCCAACTCCTACCCTGTTTTCGGATCCAGATTTGTGGACAAAAATTCACCAACGCCCTATTCCGATGCCACACAGGTAAACTTTTTGAAAAAAAATATACAAATATTTTGACACGAATTTTGCATAGGATGTTTCAAACAAAAATAACGCATTATTATTTTTTTAATGAGAATTTTGGATTACACTTCTGAGCCCGAATTCTCTTCCATACATAAAAATAAAATAAAAGTCATTCTGACACTCAAAATTTCAAACGTGATGGTACATCATCAGCATACCCTTCTGCGATGTCCCAATGTCCAAGAGCGATCCTCCAAAATTTTCTATGGGTTAGGCTCAATGTTTGAATTTAAAAAAAAAATTTAAAAGGATTAGCATAAAATATTAAATTTGTTTTGAACAATACGATTTGTTTAGAAAATAATACAAAAAGCACCCCTTTCCAGATATTTATACAAATTTAAATAATAAATGATGAAATCATCCTAAAAACATTGTGAATGGAAGTTTTTTTAATTGACAAAATTTTGCATAAATTTGAATGGGAACTTTCATCCCAGGTGTGCAATATGTTTAAGACTGTGGTAAGTTCAAACTTGTCAAGTCCACAAAAATGTTTTGTCACAACGTTGAATGCGTGCAATTTTTTTTTTTTTTTAATTTGGATTATTTGTTTTGCCATTCTGGCCATGACAGTCCCCAAGCGTTAAGATTGTTTTCGTGTCTCTTAGCAACAGAAAAATTTCAAAATCCTCCTCCCGTCCCTGCCAAACTTTTGCTATGGTAGTTGGTTTTAAATTGGACATGGTTTTCAAACCAGGTGGTCAATATGATTTATACTGTGATAAGGTCAGAACTGTTAAGTCCAAAAAAAAATGTTTCGACCCAATATTGAATACACGCAATGTTTTTAATTTGGATATTTTGTTTTGCCATTCTGGCCATTTTTTAAAGTACGAATAGTCTTGGAGAGTTCGCTGACAGTCCCGAGGCCATTAAGATTGTTTTCGTGTTTCTTAGCGACGGTAAAATCTCAAAATTTCTAAATCTCCCCCTCCTGTCGCTGGCAAACTTTTGCTATAGTACTTGGTTTTACGATTGGACATGGCTTTCAACCCCAGTGGTCGATATGATTAAAACTGTGGTAAATTCAAACTTGTCAAGTCCAAAAAAAATAGTGCCAACGTTTCGATCATTGTTGAGAGCATCTTCAGGGCTGTAAGTGTTCGTTTTCAGTGTAGATGTGTCATTATTATGTCTCGTGTTGAAAGTACCCACGAAACACCACACATTTCTACTCGCAATATTTTTAATTTGGATAATTTTTTTGCCATTCTGACAACTTTTTATAGTACTAATTGTCTTGGAGTGCCCCATGACAGTTCCCAGGCTGATTGTTTTCCTGTCTCTTAGCAACGGTAAAATCTCAAAATTTGAAAATCCCCCTGTCCCAGCCAAACTTTTGCTATATTACTTGGTTTTATAATTGGGCATAGCTTTCAACCTAGGTGATCAATTTGATTAAAACTGTGGTAAGTTCAAACTGGTCAATTCCAAAAAAATATTTCGACCCAATATTGAATACACGCAATGTTTTTAATTTGGATATTTTGTTTTGCCATTCTGGCCACTTTTTAAAGTATTAAGAATCTTGGAGTGTTCCATGACAGTTCTTAGGCCTATAGGATTGTTTTCCTGTCTCTTAACAACAGTAAGATCTCAAGATTCCCCCGTCCTTGACAAAATTTTGCGGGTTTTTCTGTTAAAATTGGACGTGGTTTTCAACCCAGGTGGTCAATTTGATTAAAACTGTAGTAAGTTCAAACTTTTCAAGTCCAAAAAATGTTTCGACCCAATATTGAACACGCACAATTTTTTAGTTTAAATAATGTATTTTGCTCTTCTGGCCACTTTTTAAGGTACTGAGGAGTCTTGGAGTTCCATGGCAGTTCCCAGGCATATAGGATTGTTTTACTGTCTCTTAGCAACGGTAAAATCTCAAAATTTAAAAGAAAACCTGTCTGCTAAACTTTTGCTATAGTACTTGGTTTTAAATTGGACATGGCTTTCTACCCAGGTGGTCGATATGATTAAAACTGTGACGAGTTCAAACTTGTCAAGTCAAAAAAAAAATGTTTCGACCCAATATTGAATACACGCAGTGTTTTTAATTTGGATATTTTGTTTTGCCATTCTGGCCACTTTTTAAAGTACTAAGAATCTTGGAGTGTTCCATGACAGTTCTCAGGCCTGTAGGATTGTTTTCCTGTCTCTTAACAACAGTAAGATCTCAAGATTCCCCCGTCCTTGACAAAATTTTGCGGGTTTTTCTGTTAAAATTGGACGTGGTTTTCAACCCAGGTGGTCAATTTGATTAAAACTGTAGTAAATTCAAACTTGTCAAGTCCAAAAAATGTTTCGACCCAATATTGAATATGCACAATTTTTTCATTTAAATAATGTATTTTGCTCTTCTGGCCACTTTTTAAGGTACTGAGTAGTCTTGGAGTTCCATGGCAGTTCCCAGGCATGTAGGATTGTTTTCCTGTCTCTTAGCATCGGTAAAATCTCAAAATTAAACAAAAAACCTGTCTAAGCCAAACTTTTACTATAGTACTTGGTTTTAAATTGGACATGGCATTCTACCCAGGTGGTCGATATGATTAAAACTGTGACGAGTTCAAACTTATCAATTCCAAAAAAATATTTCGACCCAATATTGAATACACGCAATGTTTTTAATTTGGATATTTTGTTTTGCCATTCTGGCCATTTTTTAAAGTACTAACAGTCTTGTCCTATTTGATGACAGTCCACGGGCGTTAAGATTGTTTTCGTGTCTCCTAGCAATGTTAAAATCGCAAAATTTGAAAATCCCCTGTCCGAGCCACACTTGGTAAATTAACTGTGGTAAATTCAAACTTGTCAACTCCAGAAAAATAGTGCCAACGTTTCGATCTTTATTGAGAGCATCTTCAGGGCTGTAAAGTGTTCGTTTTCAGTGTAGATGTGTCATTATTATGTGTCGTGTTGAAAGTGCCCACGAAACACCACACATTTCTACACGCAATATTTTTAATTTTGATCATTTTTTTGCCATTCTGGCAAGTTTTTAAAGTACTAAGTGTCTTGGAGTGTCCCATGACAATTCCCAGGCTGATTGTTTTCCTGTCTTTTAGCAACGGTAAAATCTCAAAATTTGAAAATCCCCTATCCCAGCCAAACGATTTGATTACAGTCCCCAGGCGTTAAGATTGTTTTCGTGTCTCCTAGCAACGTTGAAACGACAAAATTTCAAAATCCCCCCCCCCCCTGTCACTGCCAAACGTATGCTATAGTATTTGGTTTTAAAATTGGACATGGCTTCAACTCAGGCGGTCAATTTGATTTTGAACTGTGTAAGTTCAAACTTGCCAAGTCCAAAAAAAAGTATCGACCCGATATTGAATACACTCAATATTTTTAATTTGGATAAATTTTGAGCCATTCTGACCACTTTTTAAAGTACTAGATGTCTTGAGTGTTCCATGACAGTTCCCAGGTCTGTAAGATTGCTTTCGTGTCTCTTAGCGACGGTAAGCTCTCAAAATTTCAAAATCCCCCTGTTCCTGTTTAAATTTTGTGGATTCAGTCAAACAACCACCTATATAACGGAAATTTTAACGTATTTAAAGGTTGAAATTTACAAAAAAAACCTTAAATATTTTTTACTTCAAAGTAATCCTGTACGCGGTTTTTAACTAACAATACAAATAAAGAAAACATATATCAAACCAGTCTCATTTCTTATTTACGTATCGTCCACCGTGAAATGTAAATTTAGCCCTCGGCTTATTCCTGTCGGACCGATTCAAAATTAGTTATCCGGAAAGACCTTGCAACAAGTCGTTCCCCATTTGAATTAACAACAACAAGGGCGCGATATCCCAACCTCCCACCCAGGTGCTCAACGCAGTCGGGCGAGAAAAAAAATGATAAGAAATGCATAAGTAATACATCCGTCGATTTTTTCCATAATTATTTAATTAGGATTAGGAAATCCGCCATAGAGCTGAGAGGTTTCTATTTTTCTTTGCCAGCCGCGGGTTTGAAATCCTTCCTGGGCGAACTTTTATTTTTCAGCACCTAATAATTTTCTGCTCCTTGACATTTATTAATTACATAAAAAAGATTGTCCAGTTTTTAAAACAGCTTTTGCTAACGATGCCACAGGATACTTAGCAGTACATATCCTTCAATATAGGAACAGACCATTCGTACGAAAATAATAAAACTTTAAAGATAATTAAAAATATATCATATAGTAAGGAAATATTTGTATTTTGTTATTTGAAACTCTTCTGAGAAGTTTGAGTTTTTTATTTTTTGGGTTGTTTGGTATTAGTTTACGCTTAACAGGACTTTTGAGCTGAAAAACTAAAACAGAGAAAATTTTCAAATAACCAAATACAAATATCCCCTACTATTTGTGTAAAATGCCTTAATAAGAGAATATAATAAATAACATAATAGAATAGCATAATATACATAACTGAATAAATAAAGACCTGATAAATGAAATGTGCAAATTAGATGGTGGAATACCAAGGAAAAGTAAAGTTGATTAAAAAATATATATTTCATTATCTTGGCTTTGTGATACATGCAAAAAAATGGATAAAGTTTCGAATATCGACAAAAATTTTGTCGTTTGTCTTTTGACAGCAAGATCTACTTTACGGGTCGTAAAATAAGTGCGTCGAGTTTCATATATGCATAATATATGTTTCATGGTAAATTCAATGAAATTTTTGAATACAATCAATCTGCGGGTGAGTCGATTCGAGCTATCTATTGAAACAAAATACGTGATTATCTTTTTGTAAATGACGGTTCTGTTCGCGTATTTATTGTTTACAACAATTGTAAACAGATTTGTAATTAACTCTTGTGAGTAGAACCATTGTTTACAAAAAGTAAATGGACTTACTCACCCCCCCCCCAACTTTATTATTTCTACATATGATTATTTTGTCGAGGGACGTAGCAAACTACGTTAATTTTTTTAGCAAGCAACAAAGTCATTTTTTTCAGCT